GCTGAAAAGCAGGTTTGTGGGGTGGGAATAGGATTTTGCAGTAACTTCTCCCAGGAGTCGAGAGGGAATGGAGATTTTACAGTATCCTTCCCCTGCCACGCGCACCAAGCCACACCAACCAAGCCATGTCACGCCCACTAAGCCACACCCAAAGAACCTGTAGTAAAAAAATTTGAATCCCACCACTGAATACAACAATACATTAATCTCAGGCCTAGGGCCAAAATCAGATTTTAAGAGTTTTCTGAAACCCTAGGAGAGATGGTCCAGTCCTTATCTCTGGGGATTTCTTTTCTGCAGGGTGGAGGCTGCAAAACAGAATGTATGAGATAAGATATAAATCTAACAACTAAATGAATAAGTCAGACGTGCTCCCCATTTTGATTTTTACCACTCAAGGACCATACTCTGAGCCTGAGAGCTAATCTCCACAGAGAAGTCCCAATGGTGCTTCCCCACCCGCCCCCCTAAAGGCAAATGAACTTTCTTGGGGTTTTTTTTTTCCTCTGAAAACATTTTGCTTGTCATCCAACAAGTTTCTCCAGGCTTCTTGGGTGAGAAACATTTTCAAAGGAAAAAAAACAAAGAAAGTCCAGTTGCCGTTATCTTTTTTTAAAAAATACATTTGGGACAACTATGACTCGGTTGATTGAAAACTTTCAAAGCCAAGAAGATTCCTCTTCCAAATGCTGCTAAAGAAACAGATATAGGTGGATTATTTGTAGATAATAAATTAATCTTTGATGATAAGATTACAAAATAAGGACATTTTCCTCACTACAATTTACCCACCTTAATTGCTTGTGCCAGTATTTTGAAGTCACTTTTTTTAAAGTGTAAATTAATTTTACTTATGGTAAAACAAGAAGAAAAAGAATATTTTTAAAATGCATCATGATGTGTGCTTCAAATACAATTGCAAAGTGGATACATCTTCTTTGCCACATTCCAAGTCTGATATTCTCAAAATTCTTGTGATATCAACAAATTCCTACATTTCAGGGACATAATTTAACGTTCCATTCCTATGCTTAAGCTTAAATTCTCTTTTCAGTACTGAATGGATAACAAAAGCAAATATTGAAACAAAATTGAACCATCTCAAGTAGTAGTGGTAATAGTGGTAGTGACAGCAGTAACAAGAATCAAATTATTTGTGCAAAAGAAAGGTAAGGTCTCTCTAATACTGCCAGGAGAACAAATTTCCAGTTGCTCTCTCAATGACCTGTAACTCATACAAAACAGATATTTCAATGAGCAGTAGATTAAATTGTACTGCTTTAGTGATTGTGTGCCTGGCCTCCATGACATCATTTTCCTTCATCTCTGTTTTTTAAATTAGTGATGTTAGGTTATTCTGGAAGCAAAACTGTTGTTTCTCACTGAGTTGTGAACCATCCCTTACTTTCATAAAAGAAGAGAATCCATCTGGGTGTATCCTAGTTGATAAGAACACTAAGATAGAAAAGTTAGTGAGTTACACTGGACAATCAGTGGTTAATTCAAATCAGACAACTTCATGGTTTTCAGACTACGTCTAATATACTTCGACCACGTTATGTGTGCACTTCTTTGGAGAAGTCAGTGATGCTAGGTTAGTGCTAGGTTAGTGGAACAAGAAGGGGCAAGCAAAGATCGCGCTGGTTTGTTAACATCAAAATTGATACAAAGATGAACATCCAACTGTCAACTCATGAAATATTTCTATGGTCTTTTTAGAGTTGCCAACAGAAAGGGAGGGGGGAGCAGTGCAGCTTGCAAACCAAAACTGCATTCCATAAATGTTTTCAAAGATAGTAACTAGGTGATTGAATTTTCTGCCATGCAAAATTCTAACCGGAGAACATGATTCATGACTTTTGGCTGTGGATGTGTCCCATTGGAGAATATGAATTACAATACACCCAGGGGGTGGGGGGAAACCAGGGTCAAGGGTGACAATGAATTATGTGTCTCAGAGTCAGCTACACTCAGACAGTGCCAGACATGATAACGCCCAATAAATCCTTTTGAAATTTTGGAAGTTTGGCTCAAGACTCATGATTGAAATGGAAGTAACTGCCAGAATCTTGACACCCACAACTGAAAGAAATTGTGCTTTAATAGCATAGCATGGAGAGCACTTGCTTATAAAGGTGCCAAGAATCAGAAACAACTGAATGGTTAAAATAACAAAAAAAGTTGAAAAGTCATTTAGAATATTTAGATCATTAATGGAAGGAGATATGGAGGAGCAAGGATAATGGTTGGACTGAACTACAATGAAAAAGTTGGGTTAAAAGAAATTATGGGGAAAGTTATTGATTATGTAATTCTCTTACTAACACAGATAACTAGTAGCAACGGTGGTGCTTTGAAATTTTCAGCTCTAGCACTCAGAACTGCGCAACCCTTAATTCTGCGAAAGAAGTGTGGTGGAGAAATTATTCGTATACTGAATATTTGCTGGAATTGCATAGCGTTAGATTAATAAAAAGAAGGACTAGGGGTGACATAATAGCATTGTTCCAATATCTAAGGGGCTGCCACAAAGAAAAATGGATCAAGCTAATCTCCAAAGCTTCTGAAGGCAGGACAAGAAGCTGTGAATGGAAACAGTCAGTGGAATAACTTGCCTCCAGAAGTTGGGGTGTTCCAACCCTGGAAGTTTTTAAGAAGGATTGGGATAACCATTTGTCTGAAATGGTTTAGGCTTTCCTTCCTGAGCAGGGGGTTGGACTAGAAGACCTCCAAGGTCCCTTCCAACTCTGTTATTCTGCTAACGTATCAACTATTAGTCTCTACCAGCATGACTGGAAATGACATCTACCTGAAATGCTGCCATTTAATTGAGATGGATCAATTGTCTAAAATGATATAAGACAGTTTTGTATGACATAATGCGGAATATTCATTTGTACTATGAAATGAAATAATCAGTCAATATTAGTTGCCAATATTATTTCAATGTAGTAGGATTCCTGGTGACCCAGAAAATACATGTTTATTTACAGTAAGCTGTGTATTATATGTGTCTATACTTGTGTGAGTATATACCACATCAAGAATGTATTATACTTCATTTTAGAAACAGAAAAAGGCCCAATTTTAAGAAAATGCCTCAAAAGACTGTATGGAAGACAAACATAAGAAACAATTTGCATATTTCATATCCTATGTAAACATATAATTACATGAATGTACTGTATTTTTCTACTTTGCCATTTGTTTTCCAATTGAAATTAGTCAGAAAACATTTATTTTGTAAGGAGTGAATTTTTTGTTTTCATATTTCATTAAAAAAAGTGCTGTTGTTTAGCATAAAAGGGAAAGCAAGAGCAATAACATTGAAAACTTTCTTCTAAAGAAGAAGAACAAGACAATACAAAATAATAAAAATGTGCCATAAAATGCGAGAATTAAAATATAATTTTAAAAAATATGTTGAACCTGAACTATTTTATACTCTTCAAATGATCAGAAAACAGGCCATGGTTTCAACTGTCTTTTAAAAGTAGATTTTATGGCTACTAGTTTACTACCTTCAGCTCATCACAACCAAGAATTCCCTCATCACTGTTCAACTATTACAAAGTCTGCACTACTATTACTGTTTATCTTCTCATCATTCCTTATCACCCACTTGTGACTGTATGACTATAACTTTATCACTTGTATCCTTACCATTTATATTGACTGTTTCCTAGTATGATTTGATTGCTTATTGTACCCTATGACTATCATTAAGTGTCGTACCTTATGATTCTTGACTCTTAATGTATCTTTTCTTTTATGTATACTGAGAGTAATTTCACCAAGACAAATTCCTTGTGTGTCCAATCACACTTGGCCAATATTCTATTCCATTCTAAAAAAAAAAAAAAAATGGTCCTAATTTAATTTAGGATAATGTAAGACATACCAATAGCTGGGATCATAAGCAAGATCTCCCCACAACAGGAATTTGATAGAATTAGGGAATTCAGGCTTTTAAAATATATATTTTTAATAATGTTCAGAGCTTTATAGTCTAATTTGAATGCCATGAATCATAATATCTTCTCAATAGGGACCCATGGCCCAGTAGACCCAGTCCCAAAGGTGCTTTTTCAGGAGGCAACTGGACTTCCTTGTTTTTTTCTTTGAAGATGTTTCACTTCTCATCCAAAAATGACCCTCCAAAATAGGAGTATCAAACTTGCAGACCACACGACAGATGCTTCATGCACTGGCCACAACCATGACCAGTTTAGTGAAGGAGGAAAAAGTCATGATACACCAGGTGTCACTGCTGTGACAACGTGAGCTTGACAGCCCTGCTCTAAAAGGATGCAAATGACCAGCTGTCTGCAAGGAATATAAACCCTTCCATTCCCCACTATCCTGTCAGAGCTAAAGAAGCTTCTTAGATGAGAAGCGAATGTCTTCAAAAGAAAAAAACAAACAAACAAGGAAGTCCAGTTGCCTCCTGAAAAAGAATCTTTGGGACAATCATGACCTGGATGACCGAGAATCTCTAAAGACCAATAGAACCAATATTGCAAACATTTGGATAGCTTATTTGTTAAGTTGCAGTATCCTTTTTATAACACTCAAGAGCTTTATCCAGGATATAGGTAAGGTGCAAAGCTTCCTCACCTTCCTTTGTATCTCTTTCAACTGTACACAGAATGACTTTTTACTGGGGGAGAAATCAATAAGTGAGAAATTGTAAAAGAGCTATTAGATAACTGTGATAAACCAGTATATCACCTAATGGCTTTTGGCTGACACATTTCTGCATCCTCTAAGAAATAATAAAAACGTCACGTGGAATATCTCTATTTACTAGTTATAATTTGCCAGAATGCATTGATCTGAAAAGGAATGAATGTTTTGTTCTCTTTCATGTTTTTGAGGCATAGAAAAACTGATGGTTTTTTTAGCATGAGAAAAAAAGAAGAAGGGAAAATAACTTTGTATGGACACTAATATTGAAAATGTTCTCCTTGTGAATAAAAATTGCAATCTTATGTTAACAGATCTGGGGAATTTCAGCGGACGGACAAGAAGTGCTGTGTCAGTGAGAGAAGGTCAAGGTGTGGTACTAATATGCTCTCCTCCACTTCACTCACCAGGTAAGGTTGGCTGAATGTTATATTGATAGCAACTCTGTGGGCTCATAATTTTCAGCTGTGATCTTGATGGTGGATCAGTAAGTGCTTTGATACCTAAGCTATCAAAAGAATAATTAAAGTCTGTGTCTCGTAAAAGCTTTTGAACCGGAGTTAGCATTTTGGAAATAAGGTTAAACTAATCCATTTTGCTCAGTGAATAGAAACAGCAATAGCAGACAGTAGATAGGAGTCGTCCAAGGACTTTCTCCCACCCCTCCCCAGTCTCAAAACTCTTCTAAATGTCACTAGTGAGAGAGATGTTATTAAAGCCATGTGAAATGATTCACTTTCTCTCATTCAGATATGAGTTGGATCATGGTCTTCTTTCATGATCAAACTATGATAGTGGATATTTTGTTGTTGTTGGAAGTAGCTCATTTGAAATTTGTTCAGATAATCTTCTACCATGTCCTATATAGATTTTGTTGCAGAGGACAGTGCTCATGCCTCAACTTCCTATGAATCAGACACGGAGCATTCATACCATCAAGGCTGCCATCTTACATACCTAATATATCTTCTTCTTCCTGTCCCCCCACCCCCAACTGGCCCAAAGTCATCCAGCTGGCTTTCATGCCTATGTTGTGATTCACTGGCAGCTTGTGGAGATGGCAGTAGAGTCGGACAGTGGGTCAGTCTGTGAGTCTGGGGAGGGCTCAGATGAGGGTCCTGCGTCCAATACAGAGATGGGGCCAGGACCATCTGGGAGTTATGTGCTGACTCTGGACCCTTCAGGATCTGACAGCAGCGAGGCAGAGGAACAAAGGGATCCTGTTCCCAGTGCGCAAATGCGCAGAGCTGCCAGAAGGCAAGAACAGTTAAGACAAAATGGGCAATTCGGGAGTAAGGATTGGAGTAGATTGGCCCTCCCATAAGACATAAAGGAAGACCAAAGGGACATGAACCTTTGCAGGAAACAACTTTGTTCATACTGGTCAGTTTGAAACCTGAAGTTCTGTGTTGAATTTGGCCTTATATAACTAACTGGAAATGTAGTCGTTGGCAGAATTTCAAGGAAGATAAAGGTGCGTGCTTATCAGACTGAAGGACTTTGGCAGACTTCCATGGGACTATTTACAAACTGTTTGAGTCATTACAGGCTGTGCATGACTAAAATTCATAGCCATTGAAATAAAGAAAAAAGGGTTTTGGGACGGACGTATGTTTGTTAGTGTTTCAATAAGCCTTGGTCAGAACAGCCTAAGCCTGGACTAGAACTCAAAGTCTCATGCTTTGTAGTCTCATACCTTAACCATTAAACCAAATTGGCTCTCTTTGGGACCCAACCCTGTGTAAATATACTGAATACAATGTTGTGACAGAAGTTTATAGTTTTAAAGCAGGAGTGTCAAACTCAAGGCCGGTGGGCCAGATCAGGCTCACGGGGTGCTTAGATCTGGCCCATGGAAACAGTGAAGAATCAGCCCGCTGTGGCCCGGCAGGTGAAAAAAGGGGGCTTGGGAAGACCTCCTGAGTTCTGTTTTTGCTGGCAGAGGGTTGCAGAAAGCCATTGCAGCCAAAAACAAACCTCGCGAAGGCCACACATGGCCCTCCTGAGCTCTGTTTTTGCTGACAGAGAGTTGCAGGAAGCCTTTGCAGCTGAAAATGGAGCTTGGAAGCCCATTTTCACTGGCAGAGTGCTCGGGCCACCGCAGGCTCCCCTGACACAAGTGACATCTAGTTGACACCCACCCTAACCACCCAAGGTCAAACACAACCCTGATGTGGTCCTCAAAGAAATTTTGACACCCTTATTTTAAAGGATCCTTGATTGGGCCAGTATGAACATTTATTCCCAAACTGAATATTTCCTTATAAATGTCAGGAACGTTAAGGTCTACAGTTTAATATGTAAAAGAGCAAAAGAATGAAAAATTCATTGACTGTTTTTTTTGGAAAGAACTGCTTTAAAAACAGGAATACACTTTGCTTCTGAAAAATGAAGCACCCATGTTGGTTTATTTTATGTCACCTCTGAAGCTTCCTTTGGCTATTCAGCAGCTAAAAGAGACTTAATAATACAGTACTTTGCAAACCTCTTCCTTTTTTCCAGATAAAGCAGTGACTGCACTTACTGTTTGTTTCTCTGCTTCTTATAATGAACATTTCACTGATCCATCTGAAATATGATAGGCACATTGTATTATTGCAGTTGAACTACTGAAGGGAATTGCCATCACATTATAATTCCTTGGGTGACTGGGATTATAGCATCTCTTGTGTGTGTCACTTTATGTAAAAAGGTGTAGAAGACTCTTGAAGTGGTATACCTTGCCATTCAAGCATACCATGAAACCAGATTAAAATAGTGTAAACAAGTTTGTAACCAAGGTACACTTGGCAATAAGTGGCAAATGTTAAAATTCCAACCCCTTCATCAATTTGTTTCCTTCAAGATGCAAAATAGAGAAGAGATCACCTTTCCATCTCCAGTCTGCTCCTGTTATATACAAAAAAAGGCTAATATTGGAATAAGCAAAGGCAATTCCCTTTGGGATCACATGTACAAAACCCATAGCACCGTCTCTATAGGAGAAGGGTAGATAGAGCTTGGTGTTAGAGTCAAGAGAGGTATCAACCTGGAGTCATTACATTCCCATGAACATCTAAGTCTAACCCCTCTTGAATTCCATTAACTCTTACCTAGCACCAATTTAGTGCTGACTGTTAGTCGACTACATTATTGTGTATAGGCATGAGCAATAAAATCAGTTTAACTGGAATTCTACAATTCAGTATGATCCTGGTTCTTCTCATCTGACAGTTTATGGTAGCTAGAAAGTTCTATATGTTTTGCTGCATATTATATAAAATAGATTGCCCGCTATCCTTTATCTTCTCTGTTGTTTTTCTGCTTTTTTATCCCACTTTGCCAGTTAACTTTTTATATTTCTTTATTTGTTTCTTTATTTATTTTTATATGCCACACATCTTGCCATCTGGCAACTCTGTGCAGACAACAAGATAAGAACGACAATATAAAACATGCAAACAATAAATATTAACATTAAAATAGCTAAGGAAGGAACCAATATACAAGGAGAATCTTCTCTTAATCCATTAACTACCTTCAGTATGAAACACCCCTTTGGAACCAATTGGTAGAGCCAGATTTTAAGGCCTTCTTGGAAGGCCAAGAGGGTGAGACAGATCTCAACTTAGGGGGCATGATATTCCAGAGGGCAGGAATCATGGCAAAAGGCTCTTCTCCTGGATTCCACCAGCCAGAAATCCTTGACCAACAGGGGCCACGGCACACCTCTTCTGCCAGTTTGAGTGGGAGTGGGTCAAACCCACTGGGCTGAGATAGTTTATCAGGTAAAAGTAGACCCATGCCATAAAAGGGCATTAAAGGTCATAACCAACACCTTGAATTGGACCCAGAAGCACACTGACAAACAGTGCAGTTTGTGCAATAGGCTTGTTACATGAGCCATCCTAAGGCCTGTTTGTACAGCTACTTTCTGTGCTAGCTGTAGCTTCTGTTTGCTGGTTTTTGATAAATAAGCATCAAGTTTTATTTATTATTTATTATTTATTTTATTTGAGCTGAATGGTGCAAGCTTGCTCTGATCTGGATGTATTGGCTAATATTGGAATAGCCAATACCCAGTCCCTTTGGGATTATCTATACAAAAGCCACAGCATTGTTTCTATAGGAAAAGGGCAGACAGAGCTTGGCGCTGGAGTCAAAAGATAAATGAACCTGGAGTCATTACATTCCCAGAAACATCTACATTCCCACAAGCAATTATGACTGATGGAAACAAACAAATAAAACTAGAAATTACCCACAGTCATTTACCAACATATTTCTTATCTACTGTAGGAGTCCTGAGAAAAGTGGCCAAAAGCCTTGATAATTTTTATGAAGTCCTTACTTGTTATTGCCCTGGTTTTCTCTGAAATGATAAACATCTATCTGATGTCTACCACTTCTGATTGCAAGTTCAGCATTGAATGATTAAAAATGCTGAGTACATACAAAACCTGGGAGATGGTGTAGTTCTTCTCTATTATATATTATTTATGTCAGGAGTTGACAATCTCTCTGGGCCATTGAGCACATTTGCACTGAGGATATTATGGGAACGTTCTCAAAATGCCACAAGAGAAGAGAAATTTTAGCCAGAAGCAAATGGTCTTTGTTAGTTCTTACGATATAAAGCTCTTCTAATAAAGATGATTCTAGAGAAGTTAGTATTCTGTAGCATAGCTTCTTTTTCTCCCTTTCCCTATATCATAAGTGAATCAAGAAAATTCTCAACTTTTGGATGTACAGTATATATTTATTTTTAGCACGTAGAATCATTCAGAATAATCCGGTATGAGGTAACTTCTTTTAGAAAATGTTTCCATTTCCTTTGTCTACTGACTTATCATACTGAGCTACAATGTTAGGAATTGACGTAAAATTAAAAGTTCCACAGAAATCTGTTTAGGACTCAAAGAAAAGAGATTCTTCTAACTCTTAAAGACTCAGATGGAAAATGTTGAAAAGTTGTATTAAAATATATTTTAATAATGGGAATAATGCATCAATGTGACATTTTACTTCAGGTTTTCTATAGAAGAGCATAGAGATGATCTTGAATTAGTAAAATATTTGATAATCAGATTTGTTAGGATTATGGGAAATATTGTGTATGATGTGTACATGTGTATGTGTATATATATTGTACATTGTTAAGGTTTATGCTTAGAATAAGTTATCATTTTGCTATATAGATTTAGAGACTGTTTTGGATTGTTAAATTTGCATATTGTTTATATGATGTTTTCATTTGAATTTAGAGTAAACAATATTTTATTATATATTTGTACTGAAGAAAGTTGGGAGTCAAATTTCTTTTTTATTTTTGTCACTGTCTAAGTTCTTCCCACTTTGATTCCATTTGCCCTTTTTAAATCTTTTTGTTTGTTTGTTACTTTGTATTTTATCTTTCTGTTGGTTTAATTGG